TTATTCATTTTTGCACTTCAGTATGCTTACCCTATGCCATTCAAATATAAAATAACCAAAGGAGATGCAAAAGAACTCAAATAACATTTAGGGGAAACACCGAAATTATCCGGGTATTACCAAGCTTTACGATTAGCGACTCTAGAAAATAGGGGAAATACCGAAATCTGGGAATGTTTAATTTTTACACGGTTAGTAATCCGATAAATTAATAAGCATTTGCAGAATTATATGTGCTATTACTGATATTTACACTTAATACAAAGCCAACAGATATACACATCCTATCGGGACAAAAAGTCGTAAATCGAAAAACCAAGAACAAAATTAGAGAATTGATACCTCTAGTTACCTGCCTTTAAAATATAAAAAGCCCTGTTGTAGCGCCAGTGAAATAATCCAAGATAATAATCGATGAAAGTCTGAACGCGCGAGAGCGTCGTCGGCGTCTAGCTAAAGTCATGTATCGACGCGCCAGCGCGTTATTGGCATTGAACGTGTTAAAGTGTTTTGCTCTTACTGAACGACTGTTTAAAATATCAAAAACATTATCTGTAATTTGTATAAATTTTATAGTAGCTTCACAACCAGTAAATTCCTTTAACTTTAATTCATTTAAGCAATAAGAAAGAGAGTCGGCAACAGACGCACTTAAAAGTTGAACCGCTAGAAGCACTTTCATTTTTTAATTAAAACATTACATGATTTTTACGAAGTTTATTAGCCAAATGTAAACCGTCGTGTTCTTGTAACTCTTGAAGATATTCTATATAATTCCAATTTATAGAATTTCCATCTTCATCGATTATTGTGTGACGTTTATCTCCAAAAGTGTTCCTAATTAATTTAACCATATGTCAAGGGTCGTAAAATATGAAATATTTTTTATTTTGTATTGAAAAAAAGGGTTTCATATTGGCCAATTTCCTGCTGCATCCCAGAATATGCGTCATTGCAACATTTGCTGTTGCCCGTCAAATGTTAATGATGTTACATGAGCCCCTGTTTCTGTTTCAATCAACTGCAGACATTGATTAACAAGATTAGCTTTTTGTGTCCCATTTAATCCGTTTATAAAAAAATACCCAATTGGAATTTTCCAGCTTCCATTAACACAAGTCGCCATAAAAACAAAAGCCTCTTTGGCTATGTCATTGCTATCATTTTGCAAATCATTTCCAAAATCTACATACCCATGAAATTTTGTCCCGACCCATTCTACATTTTTTCGTATTGACATTTCGTCCATTATAAGAGATAGCAATAGAGGACTTTGTGACTTCTCATTATATTTTTTTAAAATTTCAAGAGATTCTTGTGTGAACCCAGGTTCTCCGTTAACATTTCTGAACCATTTGGATATTGTTGAAGGATGTGGAAGCCAAGTTTGAAATTTTTCCCTCACATAATTATACCCATTTGGAGAAAAAAAATTTAAAGTTATCGCAAATTGTCTTAATGCAGAAGAATATTTCATTTTTTGCCTATTTTCCGTCCTGCCAGTTCTTTACATATAGGTGGCATGTTTTCAAATAAAATTGAATGTTCCTCTAACAACAAATTTTTTGATTGTAACTCTTTTATCAGACGTTTTATAGATAATATCTTTTTCTTCATTCTTCTTAATTTTTGTGTCATGATTCTGATTTTATGGGACTTAATCGCACTTTTATGTTCTGCTAGTTCTAACTCAAGTTTTAATCTCTTCACTTGAGCACTGAGTTCATCATTAGGAATAGCAATCCCACTCGTTGATCCCACATCAATTGACTCTGCATGTCTCTTTCTCTGTAACAATAAAGTACATAAAGAATATATTTTTTGTGGAACATCAACACAAAAACATTGATTAAATGAGCGTAGTCTCACTGTGATCTAAGTTCATTTACTCAAAATATGACTATGTATTAGAAATATACCATGATAATAAATAATTATGAAGTCATGTTAAATAAGAAAAACCAGACAAATGAATATTTTTTAATAATAGCGCACTGTACAATGCCATTTAATAATTTTATTAAATAGCACTGTACAATCATATTCTCATAAAGGTTCACATCAGTGACTTCAAACTAGTTGTACTTAATCTATAATTTTTATTGTGGCTAATAGTTATCCAGTAAATAAGTTACCAGTTATTCAGTTATTTTTTATATCAAGTCAGCTACTTGACTAAACGATCATGCAGTAAGGTATAACTCTCTTCTAATGCGTAATTTCCGTATTTTAACTATCTGAATAACCGTCTACCAGCCTTGTATTCGCACGTATTAAAAAATATTACAAAAAATAAAGTAACACGTGTTCAAGGTTTCAATTTTAGTTAATTCTAAGATTTTATAAAAATTTTTACCTAAAGGTATAAAAATAGACAAATTTTTGTATTTTAACCCTTATTCAAGGACAAACTCTAAGCCTTTTAGATAAATATTGGGACTTCCAAGAAGAACTTGCTCAGACTTTGACTTAAATAACTTAAATAACTGATAACTATTTAAAATAACATTTATCCAAAAATAACTTCCACGGTTATAAGGGTTATTTAAAAATAACCTATAAGCACATCACTAGTGGACATAATGTAAAGTTTTTTTTAAACAACATGAAAATAATTTAGAATAGGTAATACCTTTCGAAGTCCTCCTTTTGGCTGCACACTTTTGGCAACTCAAGAAATATAGTTGGTACTGCTTGGTGTAACTATTTCACTTTCCCTGTCGTAGTTCCATAAAATAAATTATTTTCAAAATGTTTCGAGCAAATCCTATGGTTTTTAGTGGGTATAAAGTTTTTAATTTTCATATTTTCAATCCAAAGACTATTTTTTGGTTCGTCTATTGGAAACCTATATAAAAAGTAAATGTAATTAATTTCATTTTCGTAGTTACCATATTATATATTATAAATCCCATTCTAAAATAATTTCATCATACACCACTGGTAAAATGGTGCTCTTTTATGTTGCTTTTAAGTTTAGATATAAAATTTTCGAAATTTATAACTAAAACATGTGTTTTTAGTTATGTAATTAGGTACATTAAAGTGTTATTTTTTAAATAAATAACAGCTTAAAAGGCAATATGTAAGAATAAAGGAGTATTTAGTGTATTTTCGTCTACTCACTAATAACAAAAATATTTATTTATCTATGAAATGTAACTCCCGCTTCATTCTTTCTGTTGTTGCTTTTACAACCGTAAGCCGAACACATCACCATTTTAAAGAGTTAAAAAAATTGCTACTTTGTACTCAGAAATCGCACAAAAATAATTAACAAAACGAGTGGTGTCAATCCGAAAATGAGCACCTAATGAATGGCGGATCGGTTAAAATCGGCTTCACGTTCGCTTGAAGGCTAGATAGCGCGTAACCACTCCTTTGACGTGTAAAATTCCCTACTCTAAGCTTTCACCCCAGCGAGTTAATAAAGAGGAATGACAGCCTATCTCTCTCACGAAGACTTTAACCAATCATAAACCAAATAAAATAATCAAACGAAGCAATGTCAATTCTGTCAAAAGTAATGACAGATCTTCCGTTTGTTTACAAGTTTTCAATTTTATTTTATTATCTTTAACTTTCGTTTGCATTTATTTTTAGTAATTTTAATTTTAATTAAAATTTGGTTACTTAGTTTTTAAAGTTTAGTTTGAGTTACCTATTGAAGCAAAGCATTTTTGTGTTGTGCTAGTAAAAAAACTAAACATGGTGAATTATTGTATTGTTCCGCTGTGTACAAATCATGGAAAAATTACAAAAAGGGTGATGCTAGTAAATTGTCAGGAAGCAAAAAATAATAGTATTTAACTTCTGAAAATATGTGTAATAAATATTATGTAATTAGTTTATAACTGTTTTATCTTAACAAATAAATATACGTGTATCTAGAAAAAAATGTGCATCTTTTATATATCCTTATTTTCCAGTAAATTGTAATTAGTAAAGAAATTGCCCGCAAGAGGCGCTAAAGGTTATGTATGTATGGGGTGTCCATTCGAATTTGCTGCCAAAAGATTATTAGTATTGACCCCAGCCGCAAGGGGTTCTAATGAACGAAATTTATACATTGAGTTGCCTATCTATTTCTACTATTATATTATTTCTCTATGGTATTGTCTCACAGCCTCCTACAGTTACAAGCCATGAAGTAGAAATTTGGCAACGTCATATGGTAGTCCTATTCGAATGTGGCCAGATGATTGCACTGCATTGTAAATGTGTGATAGGGGAGAGTGTCAATGAAACGGACAGGTTATGAAACGGACAATCGCTATATTTCGGAACTCCCCGCCACTCTGACTAAACCGAACGCATTATGGTTACAAATACTTCCACTTCCTTGCGCCACAAAGCCAACATCTTGATCTAGACATGTGCAGTCTGATTCTTTTTAACGAATCAGTTCTTTTGAGTCGTTCAATGAAAGTGATTCGTTCGCGAACGAGACGTTCGCGAACGATTTCATGTCACATGTCACTGGAACGGAGCATTGTTAACTGCTGTAACTCTCACTGCTCTCGTCACCGTTGTTCGGTCGGTGTCTGTGTGTTAGGACTGTTAGGTACTATTGAATTGGCAAATAGCCGATTTATATATTTACCATTATTTAAACACTGACGGGATAGCAATATTTTTTGTTTTGTTTAGTAAATGAGTACAACTAGGCTGACATTTTGCTATTTTCTTAATGCTATAAAAGCGTATATAGTTTATAATAAACATAGTATAATATTTATTATAGTAAAATTTCCAGTTATTTTCGTTAATACTTCCTGCCATCTGTGGGCAGACAACCTTATTATATTAAAACTGAGTGAAATTTTCTGTTTTTATGGAATTGATATTATGTATGTATACTAATTTTTTACTAACTAGTGGATGTGTTGTGTATCTGTTCTTCCCTTAGAAACATGTTCATTTTCTAATTCACAAACAATTGATGTGTTATAAGGTTATTATATTATAGGTTAGGTGCTTCGAAATTTGTAGTTTATAAAATGTCTTCAAGAGTAAGAAGTAACGTTTGGAATTATTTTACAAAGTTATCGTGTGAAAAATCAAAATGTGATTTATGTGGAAATTTAATTTCAATTAAAGGAGGATCTTCTACAAATATTAGAAGACATTTAAAAACAAAACATCCATTAATTGATATTGATTCACCGAGGGTAAGATTAAACAGATATTATCGTAAAAATACAAATATTTATTCTATATTTATTAATTTTACAGCTAACTACTACTGACAGAAGGTCACGTTCTCGTTCACCTCCTCAGATGAGCTCTAAAGATCAAAACAGTGATCGTTCTACATCTGAAGTTATTCATGTAGCAGGTAAAGTTGCTTCAGAAGTAGCTTCTACTTCAAAAACCTGCCTTACAAATTATAAGAAAAGCATACCTTCTCAGGGACAACAGCAATATAGAATTACGCATTTTACAAACAGACCTATGTCTATTTTAAAATGCAAAGAAATAGATAAACAGTTAATAAAATTATTAGCAAGCGATTATTTGGCATTCAATATAGTTGAAAATACAGAGTTTAAAAAATTTGTAAATATGTTAAATCCGTCTTATAATCTTCCAACAAGAAACACTCTCTCTCAGAATTTGTTAACACAAACATATAACGTTTTACATGAAAAAGTTACAGAACTTTTACAAGATGCTGAAGCTGTATGTATCACAACTGATGCTTGGACCTCTATAACGACAGAATCATATATTGCAGTGACTGCACATTTTATAGATAGTAAGTGTATAATGAGAACCGTGCTATTAGACTGTTATAATTATAAAGATAGTCATACATCGGACCATTTATATTCAGAAATTTCAAGAATTTTAACCGAATGGTCTGTACATGAAAAAGTGAGTGCAGTTGTTACAGATAATGCAGCGAACATAACTGCTGCAGTAAGGCTAGGTGGATGGCGACATTTACCTTGTTTGACCCATTCGTTAAACTTAATTGTTCAAGCAGGTTTAAAGGAAATTTCACATGTCCATGTCAAAATTAAAGCCATAGTAGAATATTTTAAAAAAAGTTCAAATGCTACACATAAATTATTATCTACTGAGGTACAAATGGGACTCCCCGAATTAAAATTAAAACAAGATATGCCAATAAGATGGAATTCCACTTTTTATATGTTTAAGAGAATCCTTAAAGTCAAAGAAGCCGTAGTATCGACGCTTGCATTATTAAATTATGATAAATATCACATAAGCCAAGACGAATGGAAAACTATACAACTGGCTACAAGAATTTTAAAATGTTTTGAAAAAGTGACAGTTGATATTAGTGCCGAAAAAAATGTTACTCTATCCAAAGTAATATATTACAGCAGGGCATTGATGAGGTCCTCTAAAATGATACAGGAAGAAACTGATCATCCATCTGAAATCTACAATATGCTGCAAAAGATGATTGAACAAATGACTAGACGGTTTTTAAAAATCGAAGAAAATATTTCAATATCAGAAGCAACAGTGCTGGATCCCAGATTTAAAAGGCAAGGTTTTTGTGCGTCCCACTATTTTGAAAAAGCAAAACAAAATGTAATTAATGCAGCCAGTCACCTTAATATTAGATCAGAAGCAGATGAAAAAAACTGTAAATGTTTCGAGTGCAAGTGTTTCATCCACGGAACAATCTGGACCAACACAAGTTCTCTCCATATGGGACGAGTACGACAATACAACTGCCAGTTTAGTTGAAACGGATAATTCATTGTCGGCTAGTATTGTTGAAATTAATCGGTACATACAAGAACCATTACTTAAACGTTCTGAAAACCCTCTATTGTGGTGGAGGGATAGAAAAATAACATATCCTCGACTGTTTAAATTAATGCAGAGCAAATTATGTGTTACTGCTACATCCGTGCCTTGTGAAAGGATATTTTCGAAGGCAGGAATGGTACTAAACGAAAAAAGAACAAGGTTATCGTCTTTCGTCATATAAATTGATTTCTACACTTTAACACTGGATTTTCGTTGACTTCTGGGGTTGAACAGCTGTAGTTTTCCCTTGAAGGTGGTAGGTTCGTAGCGGGTAAACGTTTAAGAACGACGAGGATCTTCTGTAGACTCTCCCACTATCTTACTGCACTGTGCCACTTAAAGGTTTGAACTCGCGAAGGTACTTTTTAAAAAGACCCTTTATTAACTTTTACAACTATACTGCACTGCTTTATTGATTGAAAATAACTGAATTTAATTACAATACAATTTCTTTTATATAAAAATTAAATGCTGACAAAGTGTTGATGGCCGGCCAAACTTCTGACTGCAGCCCTAATAAACTGTGTTGTTTGTTTATATCGACAGTCACTGATATCCAGTATTTCTTATAAATATTTATATATACCACTTGCAGAGGTCTTTATTGTATTAGCATATCCTATGGTCTAACCTAACACTTAATTAACTAAATATGTTTTTTTTTATTTTAGTTAGCCTAGATGTTACATATGACCCATGCCTCGGGTCACTTACCTTCAACAGATTTACAGAGCTCCTGTAAAAGTAGGAGAAGGGAGCTTTGGGATAGTATGCAAAGCTGTGCACAAAGTTAATAAGAAAACATATGCGATAAAACAATTTAAAACTCCATTATGTTCTAACGCAATATATAAAGAAATTCGTAATAACGAGAAAGTGGGAATCCACCAAACCTGACCTCCGGGTTACTGCACCGTAATTCGTTTATTACGGCGTGTGTGTTCTATGGTATCGAAAGCTTTTTCGTAGTCTACAAATGCTAGGAAACCTTACCTTCAACAGATTTACAGAGCTCCTGTAAAAGTAGGAGAAGGGAGCTTTGGGATAGTATGCAAAGCTGTGCACAAAGTTAATAAGAAAACATATGCGATAAAACAATTCAAAACTCCATTATGTTCTAACGCAATATATAAAGAAATTCGTAATAACGAGAAAGTGGGAATCCACCAAACCTGACCTCCGGGGTTACTGCACCGTAATTCGTTTATTACGGCCGTGTGTTCTATGGTATCGAAAGCTTTTTCGTAGTCTACAAATGCTAGGAAAACTGGAAACTTTTATTCGTTACATTTTTCTATTAATATTTTTGTGGTTAACAGGTGATCGGAAGTTGAATAGCCTTTTCTAAAACCTGTCTGTTCATATGGTTGGTATTCGTCTAATTTCCTTGTTAGTCGAGTAGTTATGACTTTGGTGAGTATTTTAAACAGGTGTGACAGTAGGCTGATGGGTTCTGTAGTTTTCCAATTTTCGACTATCACCTTTCTTGTGTAATAAGATTACTTTAGAGTTGTTCCAGCTCTTAGGGACTTTGCCCTGATGTAAACAACTGTCCACAAGCTTAGTTACAGTTGCAATTAGTTCCTTACCTCCTTCTAATATCATATCTGTGGTAATACTATCTTCTAGTGCAGCTTTATTTCTCTTCATGTTTTCCAATGCTGTAGTTTACCTCTGAAATTGTTACTTTTGGCATTATTTCTGATCCAACATTTTTTATTAATTTCCGTGCTGGTCTCATCTCATCATCTTGTTGATGTGATCTGTAAAGTTCTGTGTAAAATTCTTCTATTCGTGTCAGTATGTTTTCTCTACTTGTGATTTCATTTTCGTCTTTTCCTATTAATGATATCATCTGACGTCGTCCTAGTGTAGGTCTGAGGCATTTCATACTCTTATTTTTTTCAATAGTTGTTGTTATTAATTTTAGTTTTCTTTTCTTTTTTGTTGTCTGATTCCTTTTCTAATCTGCCTATTAAGTTCTCTATATTCGTCGGTTCCCCTCTTGTTAGATTTATTTAAGATCTTCCTTATTTCTATTTGTTGTAATATTTCTTTGTCTAATTCATTGTATGTTGTTTTTGGTTTTTTCAGTTGCAGAAGGCTATTATTCACTGTTTCGGTAATAAGGTTATTCAAATCATCAATATCATTGGAGTTTATCTGCTGCATGCTAACTTGATTTAATGCATGCACTATCTTTTTATTAAATTCACTATTTTTGATTTCTTCAGATGTCCATTTGTATCTTTTTTCACGTATTCTTTTTCTTTCTAGTTTTTTGTTAATTATTAGTTTTGTTCTTATTAGACTATGATCGCTTCCTAGGTCAAACTGATTTAATACTGATACGTCTTCTACTAGGTTTCTATTCTTCGTTAAGATATAATCTATTTCATTCTTTGTCTTTTTATCGGGACTCATCCATGTCCATTTTCTGCTTGGTTTTTTATTGAAAAAGGAGTTCATTGAGTACATGTTATGTTCATTCATGAAATTGAGAAGCATTTCTCCTCTATCATTTCTTTTCCCGTAGCCATAGTTACCAATTAAATGTTCGTAATCTTCCTCTTTTTTGTCCAATTTAGCATTAAAATCTCCTAATAGTATTTCGAAATTTGCTTTTTTTGTTTCTATAGCTGTTCTTATCTCATCATAAAATATTTCTACTTCTTTGTCGTCGTGGCTTTTGGTCGGAGCGTAAACTTGGATCACTTTCAGAGTGGTTCTTTTATTAATCCTGATGATGAGATATGCTACTCTGTCTGATATGGGCTTGAATTCTTCGATACACTGTGTGAGGCTTTGTTTTACCAAGAATCCCACTCCAGTGTATTCGCCACCTTTATGCATAAAATGTGTGCCATTTTTTAGTATTATATACTCATCACTTTTTCTTCTGGTCTCGCATATACCAAGGATATCCCATTTTATATCCTTTAGTTCACTTTCTATTTCTGGGAATCTATTGTCGTCCGTCAGTGTTCGAATATTGTAGGAGCATAGCCAAATTGTCATCTTGTGGCAGCCGGGTCTTAACCAGGGATTCTTAGCACCCCCCCTTTCCCTTAGTTGTTTGATCGCTGCCGTGATCAAGACTCTGGGAAGTGCTGGGCACTGGGGGGCCTTTTCTTTTTTGTCCTGTACATTGACTTGAAGGTTTGGACCGTTATCTCCTCACGCTGGTCCAGTGCGGGTTGAGGAGGGAAGGAAAGGATTTGGGTAGGTCTGGGTTGGTGGGTAGGATTTAGGGATTAGGATCCGCTTCTCTCCCGGAAGAGGATTGGGAGAAAAAGCCGAGCTCGCGTGGGCAGGGACGCATCCCTGAAGCAGACCTGTCTTTACCGGATCGTAAAGAGTGTCTACCCGCTACCCATGTGTACTACAAGCTGTACTGATGGCTCCTAAATCAAAAGTTTCGAGCCTTACTATAAAACAAAATTGTGCGTACACAATCTTTGTTTCCATGACTTAAGGACTAAAGATGGATTTTGTTACATTTGGAATGAGACGGAAGGTAATGTTTCTGCAGAAGAGTTTGCCATCATCTTTTTCTACTTTATCACTAACAAAATTTTGCCTACACTTGATCGAACTACTGATTACGGAGACACAAAAATAATTTTGTATAGCGATGTCTGTAACTACCAAAACAGAAACGTAACTGTTTCAAACGCCTTACTTAATACAACTGTAAAGGAAAACATTACTATTGAGCAAAAGTACTTAAAAGTTGGGCACACCCAAATGGAGGCAGACTCCATGCATTCCACAATTGAAAGGTGTTTAAAAAACAAAACAATCAACGTGCCAGCAGATTATTTGGGAATATGTCTATCTGCCCGAAAGATCCCCAAAAAATATAATGTAACTTATTTAAATCATACATTCTTTAAGTCAATGAAGAAACTTGAGTTCCTGAAAAGTATCCATCCCGGTAAGAAAGGTGACCCAAAAGTAAGTCTTTACAAGTATTTATTTTATAAAATCATGAATGTGTTGCTTGTGTGAGTCCATTTCAAATAGGTAAAGAAATAATAAGTAACACTTACTCACAATCAATTTAATTTAACTATCAGACGACCGGTTTCGCTTTCTATAATATGCAAAGCATCTTCAGTCTCGATACAAAGTTAAACAAATGATGCCGGTACTCTATTAATTGGTGGATGGTAGGACATGGTTGAAAATATCATGTGTTGTTGAATGGAGAACTTAAGTCTGCTATTGTAAAAACTATCGATGAGCTATATGGGAGAAAGGCATATCAAGCTATCAGTGGACCTATTAACTGTGATCCATTTGACAGAATTAGAGACAATCTAGGTCATTTGAAAATGTTGTTGGATGTACATGGCTCCTTAAAAAGGAACCCGTTGTCCCAGAAGACATAATAGATGTAGAGAATGTTGTATTTTCCCAACAATACCTCGATGCAGATGATAAAGTGTCATATCTTTTAAAACACCTAAATAATTTCTCAATTAAAAATAAATGAAATATGTGGGAAAACTGTGGGGCAGTCATCAAATGCAACATGGCTGATAACGAGGAAAAATAGGCTAACTTTCAGCAATTTTGGAATTGTTTTGTCAGCCATAAAGAGGAATAGATTCCCAGCATCCTTGTTTAAAAGACTGACAGGTAACATATTTTATAAATAAATTTAAAATATCCCTTTCGTGACCAGCTGACACGATCGTGAGCTCATGTTTATATGAGTATCAATATTAAAATAAACATATTTTTAACTGGGATAGATGATTCAATATGTTGTGTCTATCATGCATTATCAGCACAACTGAAATTATTTAACGAATTCGCGATTAGTTTGCAATAGAATACCCCAGAAGATGGCTGTGTATTTTAATGACAAAACCGGTAAACGTAAGTAAAAGATATTTTGTTTTTATTTTATGTATTTATTTATGGTAACGGGTTTCTGGTATAAGTAAAGTTTAAACTTCGTGATAATAAACAAGATTTAAGAAATTATTGGTTTGTTTGTAGAGATATTGTCCCATAATATTTAAATATCACGATAGTGAGTTGTCGTCACAAATTCAATTTTTGAATAGCAGGAAATTAAAAATACTAAATATGTATTGGTTTAACTTTTTATTAATTTTTCTCTATTTAAATGATACAAATATTTTTTTTCTAATTACAGGTGTGCCTCTTACCCACGAGTTGGTTCTAGAGTTATTAAATGATGGCAACGAGTCTGAAATAGAAGATTTAGATGACGAAAATGGTGATGCTTTTGAGGTTCAAACATTTGAAAATGACATCGATGACAAGGATATTGAAGAAACTGTATTGGATGAAGAACCTGTTCCTTCAACGAGCTCTTCTTCAGCAAGGAGGCAATGGAAAGACACGACATTTCAGCAAGAAAATCATAATTATCCAGAAAGTACACCTAAACCAATCAGAAATGCTATGGAGTACTTTTCCGATTATTTAAATAATGGTTTCTTTGATTTAGCTGCAAATTGTACAAATAATTATTATATGCGTAAGACAGGTCACATGCTGAACACAAACAGTGAAGAAATAAAGAAGTTAATAGGTATACACTTGATTATGGGATGCATCCCTTATCCTAGACTTCACATGTATTGGCGTCAAGAGATGCAACTTCACATGGTATCAAGCCAAATGTCACGAGACCGTTTCAAGACATTGCGTACAGCCTTGCATGTAGTTGATGAGGACATAGCACCTGAAGGTAATACCACTTTGGAAGGTACAACCCATCATAACTGCAGTTAAACGAGCATGTGACAGATTAGAAAGACATCCAGGTAATTATTCCATTGACGAACAGATTATATCCTTTCTGTGGAAGATGTCCAAATGGCTTAAGACAAGTAGTTAAAAACAAACCGAGACCTTCAAGGCCTAAAAGTGTTTGTGACTACAACAAGCGACGGTCTAATGATAGACTTTGAGGTATATCAAGGTGCAAGGACTCCCTTCCCTGACAGATCACTTGGAGTTTCCGCAGCTGTGATTCTACACCTATCAAAGTCAATTCCTCCAGGAAGCTGTCTCTATTTTGATAGATATTTTTCATCAATACCCCTCATTGAACGTCTATCTCAAATGAAACTTCATGGAACAGCTACTTTGATGATGAACAGACTTCCAGAACGGAGAAAGGTACCTTTTAAAGAAGATCGGTTGTATGAAACGAGGCGAATCACAGCAATTTGTGTGTGGAGACTTAGTTGTTGTTAAATGGAAAGACAATAAATCTGTGCTTATGGTATCGAATTGTACATCAGCTGACAATACAGTGAATGTGAATCGCTGGGATAAAACTTCTAAAGCTTATAATTCAAGTTTCCATGCCAAAGCTTATTCACAACTAACAATACCAACATGGGAGGTGTGACGTTCTAGACCAAGGTATGGAATATTATCGCACATTCATGAAAACAAAAAAATGGACCCTCAAAGTAATATTGCACTTTAATAGACCTTGTGTAGTGAATGCTTGGCGCCTTTATATAACTGAAGCCATCAATGCACATATTCCGAAAAAAGAAAATAGCAGATTTGCTTCAGTTCAGATTAGAAGTAGCCGATGGTCTCATTGGAACGAAAACTAAAAATCCTTCATCAACAAGTGAAGACACTCAATCTATGGATATTGATCCAGTTGTAAACCAAAAAAGGTATCGACCAGCCAATAATCCAAGTGACTCAAGGAGGTATGATTGTTATGAACATTTTTCCTATTTTTGATGAAATTCCAGCTCCTAGAACATGCAGATTTGAAAATTGCTCTAGTAGGTCTAAAGTTAGATGTGAAAAGTGCAATGTTTATTTGTGTTTGTCACGCAACAAGTCCTGTTTTAGAGATTACCATAAAAAATAATCATTATTTTTTTGAAATTTCTGTACCTGACAATATGTTCACGTATAATTGCTTGAAATTTACTCCTAGTTTTTGTTTTATTTAAGGTTGTATGTAATAAATGTTAAAAAAATATAAAATAATTTTTATTTAGTCATAACCTAATCCTAATTAGGTTTAATAACAAGTAAACACTCACGATCGGTGCGTTGATAGAACATAAGCCGAGAGCGCACGAACGTGATATGTCATTTTTGACAAATTCAAACTATGAATTTTTTTTTCTGCATTTTTTATACCTTTTTTTGGATAGTGTATATCGTATTTACTCAAAGGACAACTTAATTTTCACTCAAAAAAAGTTCAGGCCTGAAAGGGATATTTAAATATATTAATTACATTACATTTAAAATTTTGAACCATAAATAATAACGATTATATTTTTAGACAATAAAGTGATAAAACAAAAGTATATTCCTTTTTTATTTTTTCAGAAAGCTATACTTTGGATGGAGTAAAGGCCATAAAATGGGGAAAAGAGCATGAGGGTAATGGAATTTCTGTATTCGAGAAAAATCGAAACACTACTGTTGTTCCCACAGGAATGTGGCTAGATAGATGTGGATTTCTTGGAGGCAGCCCTGATGGCTTATGTGGTAATAATTCTATTGTTGAGGTGAATTGCCCTTATAAGTTGAGGGAGTCCAAATCATTGATTAATGATATAAATGATAAAAAACTATATCATATATTTAAATAAAAAAACGAGGTAGTATTAAATAGAGAACACAATTATTACCATCAAATACAAGGCAACCTGTATTTAACAAAAAGAAAGGTGTGTCACTTAGATATTTGGACTCCTTCAGAATCAATCATATACGATGTCAATTATGAAGAAGGCTGGGATAAAAAATATACCATTATTAAAATATTTTTATTTAAATAAGTATGTACCATTTTTATGTGGAAATAAAAACACTTTAAAATTACATTTTTTGTTTATTTTGTGTATATAAATGTTATACATATTAAAAATGGCAAACAGAGAATATTTTCTTTATTTACTAGATTAAATCCATAGAAAGACTATTAATTTAAGTTTTAATGTTAAAATGTTACTTGACACTAATTAACTAGCTCATTGAATTAATTCATTCAATGAGCTAGTTAATTAGTGTCATTGATTCAATAATAATAATAAAATAAGATACCATTAATATATTGTCTTATAAAAACATAATATAATACAAAATATTCAAACATCTAAATGTATTGTTAATACATGTATGTGTTTGACTTTCATAGGAGCTTCGCTAATTCTACAGAGAAAAGTATAACAAAGTAGAAAACCTGAGTGCCTTAAATGGTGCCAAGCCGATGTATCCTACTCATGCCAATTTAGCACTAATAAAAGACATACTATACAATGCCCAAACATGTGGCAAAAACATATTAATTTTATGGGGACCATCTCATGTTGGGATAAGGGGTAATGAAGCAGCAACAGAAACTGTCAATAACATGACAATTCCTATTATGCAAAACATACCAATTTCATACCAAAAAACAATAATAAAAACTTACATTAACAAAACCTGGCAAGTAAAATGGAGCCAAACAGAAGCAAAATTAAAAATTATCAAACCAGATGTTACTTCTGCTTTACTACCGCTCCCAGATCAAAGACATGACCAAGTAGTTATTAACAGACTGAGGCTAGGTCATACAAAATTAACACATGGATACATCATCTCCAAGGACCCTCAGCCGATTTGCCACACCTGTTAAATACCATTTTCAGTGCAACATATAATGATAGACTGTTCAGTGTAATCGACAGCAAAAATAAAACACAATTTGAAAATCAAAAAGAAGACATCAGTATTACAATAAATTTTATCAAAAATTGTCAACTGTATAACAAACGTAGTTAAGGCCTGCTGTTGAAAGAATTCCTTTTTGCTCCTCTTTACATCTGCATTATCGGTATGTAGTTCGATGTGATTAGAAATTGTGTTTAAAAGTGACATTACTTTCTCGTGAAATTGTTGAGGAGTTTCGTTGGGTCCTTGCCTTAAGTTTACCATGTCTCTTGTAAGTGAATTTTCATTACGTTGATCGGCAAAGTTTTGAATTAGTATGATCCTTATTGTGGGCCAATCTTTACACCCATATACGGAAATTATTTCTCGAGCTCTTCCCTTAATTTTATTCATTACACCTCGAGTTATCATGTGATTTCGGAAGTTATCGGGATTATTGTGGTCCCATAAATGATTAAGAAGCATTGCAGTAACTTCAATGAAGTTATAAAGTTCATTAGGGTTGCCATCATAATCGGGCACGATGGAAAGATCTTTATTGACGTCGAAAACTAAAGCGGGAGCGGGTGCCACGGCCATAGTATTTAATTGACTAGCGGGGGTAATAATTATAGATGGTATATCTAAGCTATTTAAAGTATTATTTAAAGAACTAACGCTGGTTTTAAAACTAAATTGAGAAGCTGAGTTATTTTGCAAAATAGAAGCAGCACCAGGTTCGATAATCGATTCACTAATAGTTGAAAGAGAATTACTAATTCTAAGAGATAAAGCTTGTGAAGCGATTAAATTATGATTAGAAAAAAGATTAAATTTGCTTACAGATAAATGATGATGCTTGGGTGCATTTCTTTTCGAAGGAACTGGTTTCTTTTCTTCTTTCGCTTTCTTTTTATCGTCTTTCGTCATATAAATTGATTTCTACACTTTAACACTGGATTTTCGTTGACTTCTGGGGTTGAACAGCCGTAGTTTTCCCTTGAAGGTGGTAGGTTCGTAGCGGGTAAACGTTTAAGAACGACGAGGATCTTCTGTAGACTCTCCCACTATCTTACTGCACTGTGCCACTTAAAGGTTTGAACTCGCGAAGGTACTTTTAAAAAGACCCTTTATTAACTTTTACAACTATACTGCACTGCTTTATTGATTGAAAATAACTGAATTTATCGTAAAATAGTTTCGAAACACTGAATTTAATTACAATACAATTTCTTTTATATAAAAATTAAATGCTGACAAAGTGTTGATTGGCCGGCAAACTTCTGACTGCAGCCCTAATAAACTGTGTTGTTTGTTTATATCGACAGTCACTGATATCCAGTATTTCTTATAAATATTTATATATACCACTTGCAGAGGTCTTTATTGTATTAGCAGATCCTATGGTCTAACCTAACACTTAATTAACTAAATATGTTTTTTTTTTATTTTTAGTTAGCCTAGATGTTACATATGACCCATGCCTCGGGTCACCTTACCCTTCAACAGATTTACAGAGCTCCTGTAAAAGTAGGAGAA